CTTTGTAAGAATTGATAAGGATTCTGGGGTGTCAGAAGTCATTGCTTTATTTTTAAAAAGTCACTACTTCTCTTGTGGAAAGAGCACCATGTTAGTGTTAAACTCTTAGGTGTTGACTTTAAATATCTGTACCATATTTCTTCACACACAAAATGGAGATAATATTGGTACTTTGAGTGTTTGTGAAGATTGAAATAATGTTGATATTTAAACATGCTGTGCTAGATTTCAGCTACCATTAAATAACTGTGACATTAACCTCTGACTCCATGAAGTCCAGAATCTTAATGGAATAAGTAATTGGTGAAGGAACATTTGTTTGTGGCCAGTGAGAATTCATTGCAAGAAGAACGTTTTATAGCATTATTGTTAGCTCAGTCACCCAGTGTGTAGGGTGGGGGCCCTGGTAATCCTTCTTCCAACACACACAAAGAGTTCGTCTTCCCTGTGCAAATGTCCGTTCATTACCATCAACAAAGGTATTAAAATTTGATGTGACTCTTTCCAGACCTTTCTCTTTTACTCTGTGCTTAAATAAATAACACATGGCAAGAAAATAATGATAATGATGAACAGCTATATATCAGAGACATTTTGTGGGGGTGGAGTGGAGAATGGGATCAGATACACTGGACTATGGTGATGGCACAGGGTGATTTGGGGATGGGAAACCCAAGGGGATTGCAACTGAGATGGGAAAATGCACAAAAATATGTAAAAATAAACTATTAAAAATATATAAATACACACATGCCTATCAACTGTATATGCATATCCATAACAAATACATCAACACACAAACACACACATCTACTTTTTAACAAAAAAAAAATAGAGCTGCTTTTTATTTGTTCTAGTTTAACAAACTGGAGCTATAGTATTCATTCTATTCCAAAAATTGTCTCCCAGGTGACAATTACAACTGACAACTTGCCTATGCCCCTCTTACTGTTTCTGCCCATTTTTGTTATATTTTTATAGATTTACACACAGTGGTTCTTTCCCTTTTTTCTTTTTTTTTTTTTTTAAGATTTATTTATTTATGCTTACAGGCCAGATGTGTGGTGGGTGAGAGGATTCCCCAGAGACAGAGTGGGGAGCAGAACAGGCAGATTGACAAAGTCCACTGCTGAGGGGAGCAGCGGGCGGGTCAGGAGAGGTCTGCCATGCCATGTGGGTAAGCTCCCTGGCTGGGGATCGAAATAATGCAGCAGTGGCTTCAGAGAACTTCATAATGTAGTGCTTTAACCTGTTGCACCACCAGAGAGCTCTCCTTTTTTTCTTTTAAAAACTCCTCATACTTTTACAAGCCACCCAAACCATCAAAACCCCAAACTGAAAAGGTGCCTGTGGTGTTTGGTTCAAGATGGAGAGTAGAAGATTAAGGAGAAAGTCAAGTGGATTGAAATCAGCAGTAAAACGACCATTCTCCAATACTAAATGTACTTGAAATTTATTCCCCTGCATCTGTAGGTGAATGTCCTTCTGTTCTGGAAACAATAAATCCCCATAAAGTTTTGCAGAGGCGAGGTGAGGGAGTGGCTCTGTCCGAATCCACTGGGAGCTTGGCTTGTGCACCAGCCAATCTGAAAGTCAAAGGCCCTGCTCTTTCTCTGGAGTTCCTGGGCTAGGAAAGGTCTGCAGGCAACACATCCCCAAGCTTCTGCATTCTGGAGGCTCCCAGGCTGTTAGAATAATTGCTTTCAAAACCCAGATTGTGCCCCCATCTATATGCTTTCAAAGCACTGAGGTCTGGGTGCTGGTGGATGCCAGCATACCCTGGCTTGTTGCCTCAGCCCTGCACTAGCTGGAAGTACCTCCCCTGCTCCTCTTGCCACCCCCAGATGGCAGTGTGTTTCAAAAGCTCACCCAGAATGTGTTTCAAAAGCTGCTCACATAACCAACTCGTATTCAACCTGATGGAGCCTTCAGCCCCACCTTGATCTCTGTTGCCTCTGCCCTTGGCTGGACCCTGACCCCTTCTGCTCCTTATGCAGTGACTGCTGACTGCCCCCTCCAGTCTCAGGTGTTTATTCTGTTCTGCTTTACATTCTTCCGTCACTTTCAACCTTGCCCCTTTACCTGTCTGCTCTGGCAATCCCTGCCCCAAGCCCCCAGGGCCAGTTGCCATATGGGAACCTCTTATTTCCCACAAGACATTTCCTTCCAAGGTTGCTTCCCCTTCACAGCATTGACCTCGACAGCAAGTACAAATTGCAACTATTTCAATAACCTTCAGGTTATGAGACAATCTGTCTTGCAAATGCACAGCAGTGTTCAATAGGGTCTAGAGGGGATAATAGAAATTAAGTCACTGATAAGGGAAGTTATGACTCACTTGGTGGTGGACATCCCAGTCGTCACAGGTGCAACAGCAGCTTTCGCTTTTATTTACTTTATTTAGTGTCTTGAATCTCTAATGTCTTCAGGTTACTGTAAAGCAGATTCTGTCCCACAGGACTTTGCATATGGAGTGAAATTGGATACAGCAGAGGAGTGGGGTGACGATTTACTTACCCATTGATTTAATAATTATCTATTGAGTACAGTGTGTGTTTGGGAGCCAAAGGTTACAACAATGAAATGGTTTTCTCCCAGCTGTTAAGGAGGTTATGGTCTGTTGGGAACAATACACTGTAATATAGTATTATAGTATAATAATAGAATAAAGACAATAATCTGTAAGGTCCTTGCCTCATGAAGTGCAGTGGGCGTGGAAAAGGCTTCCATGTTGGTTTGTTATAGCCAAAAATCCCAGCGACTGTGTGATGGGCCGATCACAGCAGGTCCCTGGGAGTTTATCAGGACCAGGGACCAACTTTGTTATTGTGAATCCTGCTCATTGGAACCTCTAAACCTCACCCCAGTCATTTTGTTTACTTACAAACTCAACCCAGGAACCACTGTCCTCCTATGTTACAAGCATACAGTGTAATACTGACTTTAGTTAAAGTCAGTATTTCACAGGTTGATATACTAAAAATTAATGAGAAATAGAATTTCTAAAATCCTCATCTTAGAAGACACCTCACAGGCACCAGCGAGGACCAGAATAGAGACTCTGTAACTAGTTGACTAGTCTCGGCTCTGGGTTCAGTTAGTTCATCCGGAGACTTGGGCCAGACACAGGGGACCACTCCAAAGATATCATGGAATAATCCAGACCTTTCCAGAAGGATGACTGGTAACCTCCTTTCATATGAGGCACAATTTCCCTGGGACTTTGTCCATTCAAGAGACCAAATGAGTTTAAAGTTGCTTAGTGAGCATAGAATTAGAATGAATGGCTTTGTGGTCTGTAGGGATATTTCATCAGAGTAGAATAACTGATTGAACTGCCCTTCTCCTCTCTGGGGAGATTTCTGTCTGAATAAGCAGCCCTGGGTCTCAAATAAATACTGACATATTTCATGTCTGGCTTTCCTTGTTGGGGGAATCTTTTTAGACAACTGCCTTTCTGTTAATGCATCACCACCTCAGGAAACAAGAATGCATTTGATTGGATTGAAATTTTAAAATGCTAATTGCATTCTTGTCCTGGGGATACAACCCAAAGAGATGAAGTTTCCTGTTTCAGGCTGAAGTGTGTCTGGAGAATCTCCAGGCTCCTCCGCTGTGTCTGAAGGCCCAACTAGGCTGACCTCTGTTCTTCTGGCCCCTGGGCACTCGGCTCCTTCCCTAGTAGAACTCTGATTGGTGAGAAGGTTGCAACTTCTAATTTGATTTAGGCTTTTATCTCAAGAGACCTTCCTTTTCAGGCAGCTGGAGCAGGTGGGCTTGAAGTCCCTTCACTGTCTCTCCTGCCCAAGAGTGAGCCAAGAAGAGGAGTCAGCCATCACATGAGAGGGAGTTAGACAACAGTTCAGATGCTTTCTGTTCAAGTATTAATTATTCTAACCAATATCATATAATAGTCTTCTTCTCCCAAAAGAAATGATTCAACTTTTCTCCTACTGGAAGCTATGATGTTGCAATCTTTTATAAAACAGTTCAACGTTGCACTAAGATGTTGGGGACACCTTAAACAATAATGTCACCACCTCGGTTTCAACCCCCATGAAGACATTGATACATGTATTTTGCACCGACTTACTAATTCTACACTGCCATTCACTTTTATAGACGTCACTCTAAGATGCCTCTGAACACAAAAACAAATAGCATTGATTAAAGGAGAGGGTAGTTTAATATCTCATAATGCAACAATATTTTTATTTAATATAAAATGATGGCTCAGAATAACACTTGGGATGCAAAGTTAATTTTATTTAAGAGTAGTAGTTGAACTTAATGCTGCTTACATGCATAATTTGCATAAAAGAAAGGAAAAAAATATATAGCACACAGAAACCAGCACAAACCTGGTTGATTCATGTGTTCTTTGAAGGCAAGATTTAGCAAAAATCAGTTTGAGAGAGGAAAGAGAGATTAGGAATTAAATCTAAATTTTCTACAATTGACTGATCTAATAGGCTTTTATTCAGAGACTCATGAGTCAGGCAGCATCCAACTTAGCAGATAGAAAGGACCCAGAAGGGCTGGGTGAGGCAGGGACCAATGTGTGGGGACAAGGAAGTTTCACGGGGCGCTTGCTGATTCCCTGGAGCAGGCTACTGCCTGCTGGGGAAGTCAGAGGGCTCAGGGCTGGCCGGGGGACGCTTGCTGTGCAGGCCAGCTTGATGCTGGGGCCTGGGCCTTCCTTTTCATGGAGAGTTGCACCCAGAACTTTAATTTTGGTCTGCTGATGTGGAGCTGAGCCTCAGCGGCGCCATCTTGGACCCAATCTGGTGACGTCCACCTGGGCTAATGTTCTCTTTGGTGTGGGAAAAAGCTTTCTTAACTAACTCCATTGTGATGGCAAATGGCCCCAGAAATGTGCGCATTAATGAAAAGACATTTGTCCCTGGGGAAGGAAGTCGATGACTTACAAATTTGTTTCTTCATCTTTGACGCCAGCACCAGGCCGTGGCATAAGCCCCCATTTCTTCTTGTTCCCACAGGGAATTACTGGAATGCTGCCTCCTTCCCGAACCCGTCTTCCTACCTACACTTCTCAACGTTCCAAGGGGAGACGAGTGCTGACATTTCTTTCTACTTCAAAACACTGACTCCCCGGGGAGTCTTTCTGGAAAACCTGGGGAACACAGATTTCATCAAGCTGGAGCTGAAATGTGAGTACCCATCATGGGGGGCTGCCGCCCTGCACCTTCCCCAGCCCTGACAGCGTGACTTCCTGCATTCCAACCGAGTGGTTTCCTTTTTTCCAGAAAGAGCTAGAAGTAGGTGCCCATACTTCAGTAAGACCAAATCCCTGTGCTGGGGTTGCTCACAAGGAAGCAGGCACATAAGACTCCCACACAGTGCCACCCAGCAAAACAAGAGAGGATAAATTGCCCTAATAACACAGCTGTAGGGAGAAGGGTGTATATTAAAGTTCCTTGTGTGTGTGTTTTCATTTTGCAAGGAGACAGAGGGTTGTGTAAAGAAATCTACAAAATGGGAGTTGAGGGGGTGCCCAAGGGATAGTGGGGACCATAACAGAACCACCAGCATACCATCTGTCTGAGTTAATGAAGCAAAGAAAGCTTGAGTTTGCTGCATCCCGGGGGGAACCTCCACATCCACACTCTCTGAAGGTCCAAGTCCTGAATTTATTTGGCCAAAGATCCAGAAACCAAGAGAATCAGAGCTATGGCAGACCCTACCAAGCTGTGCTCCACTTGCTATGAGTCCCAGAGACGCTCAAAGGTCCCAGACGTGGGGCCCCTTCTGTGGTGGGAGGAGTGTGTCAAGTGTGAGTCACTGGGTTCCATCATCCCAGGCCCTGTTTATCCTTGGGCACATGTTCAGCCCGAGTTATCTGCTGTGCACAAACTTCTAGGTCTGGTGAATATTTGTGAAATCCCTAGGCTCTGCTGTACCAGATAAAGACAGCAAGACAGCAGATAGGACCAGGAGGAAGAATCAGCCAGGGATCCAGATCCCCAAATCCCTTCACAAAACCTGGGTGTCACCCCCACTCAAAGTCTCCATCCTCCCTCCACCTTTCCATGAATCCTTTGTAGCCATCAGAGTCACTGCCCCTTGGTCTTGATGATCTGTGTCTCCACCTCAACGCTATTTAAAATAGCCAAGTAATGGGAACAACAGGTATCCAACAACATGAGTGGGTAAAGAAGAGGTGGTGCATATATGCTGTGGAATATTACTCCGTCATGAAAAAGGTGCAATCCTACTGTTTGCAATAACATGAATGGACCTGAAAAGGATTATGCTAAGGGAAATAGTCAAAAAAGAGAAATACAGATAGAAGATGATTATAAACTAAACAAAGCAAAGGAACATACAAAATGAAATCTAACTGTAGAATTGAAGCCAGGGGTAGGAGGGATTATGGGCTGTGGTAGAAGATTATGGGTGTTTTGGTGGTGAGTGTGGTGTGGTGACATACATCTGGAAAGGAGTCAGTCTTTACCTCTAAGTCACGTGCATTGTTGTAAACCAATGTTACTGCAATAGAAAACAGATAAAAGTCAACTACAGAGACAGAAGTCAAAGTACTCTTTCTTTCCATGCTGATTGCACTCTTGCCAGCCTGGTGAAATTTCCTAAGTCCCACCGCACATTCTGCAAGAAGTGTGGCAAGCACCACAAAGTGACACGTTCAGGTGGTCAGGGACTCTGTCTTCCCAGGGAAAGTAGCAGAATGGCCATGATGGGCAGACAAAGCCAATTTTCTGGAAAAAGTAGAAAACTACAGAGAAGTTTGTCTGAGACCTGAATGCACTGAGCCCAATTGCAGGTCTAGAGGATGGTAGCTACAAGCATTTTGAAGAGGAAGGAGACAAGAGGAGAAAGACTCATGTGGTCCAGTGCTTGTTTATTATGAAGACAATAAAATCTTGAGGTTATGCTCACATCAAAGAAGTCGGAATAGTGGCCACCTCCATACCCAAGTCATAGGGAATGCTGACTAGGAAGGGGCACTAGTGAACCTTCTTGAGTGGTAGAAATGTTCCATTCTTGACCTACAGAATGATGGCATCTGTAAAAATTTCGTTAACTACACAACTGAGATTTTCACATTTACGTGTCCATAAGTTATACTTCAGTGAAACAGTGGGATAAGAGAAAACTCTGCAGTGAAAGATCTTGAGCCATCCAGTAACAAATATGTTAATAAAGCCCTTGTCTTTTCAGCAAGAGTGATAGATACCATGATTCTAGGTTGATCAACCCAAGTCCCATTGCTGACCCTCTTGTTCACTTATAAAATAAGAAGATTGAGCTTCCCTTCCAGTGTTGACAGTTCTCTGAACCTATTGCAGGCGATCAGCATTGACCCATAGTTGTAAATCCTGACAAAGGATCCATCAATATTTCCCATAGGTACTTCTAGCTCAACATGTCAAAACTGAAATCCATCATCTCCCTCCAAAATCCTCCTGGGCTCCCCTCCTTGGTTAATGCCAACACCTCTTCGCTATCCAGATTAGGAAAGCTCAGTAGTGTCTAGTGTTTCATTAACCTCCCAACTCTAGACACACTGCTTATCTTGGTCAACACTGTATTTTTTTCATCTAGAGAACTGCTCTTCTGACATTCCTTAGGATATGTGTTAGGTCAGAGAAATCCCAGAGAAAGCAACCATCCCAAGTAGTCACAAAAAGATGGATTAGAACATCAACGCAAAGAAAAGTAAAGTCTTCTCAAATTTCTCTGTATTTCCCATAACAATTTCTGTGGAAATGGTCTGGATTCTTGATGCAAACAGCCTCATAGCTTGTCTCCCTCTCTATCTCCTCTCTCCTGACATCTCCCAATGAAGAGAGATGCCGACAGATCTTGTCCCATCACCCCTTTTCTAACAGACCCTAGAGACAAAACCCAAATGTGTTACAAGACAGTATTCATAGTTAAGCTTGGGAAGTGATCTAAGACTTTGACTTAATATTTTAGTCTTCTTCCCACAACATGCAGCGGTGTTCCATTGTTTTCACCCATTCAATACCATCTAGAATCGTCTCCCCACACTGAAACCCTACCCACAAAGTGTTTTTCATATGTTGTCTTGATTTAAAATATAAAACACAAGACGAAAGTCCTTGCTTTTCCTAAAATCCTCAAAATGTCTGCAAAACCATTCATTCAGATTGTTGTGTAGAAAATAACAGGCATCCTCATCAAAGACCATCTTCACATAGCGTTTGTCTGACTGGAGTTTATATGATGTCATTCCAATCAAGAAATGTGCATGTCTCACAGAGATATTTTTTCTGATGGAATTTTGCTTCGATTTCATTTTTCTCTGATTCTCATGTTTTCTGAGTTACTTGTTGTGTGTGTTAGGCACAAAATCTTTCCCTTCAAAAAGATGGCATGTGAAAGTGTCAAACAGACCAACTGTTAAAATCACTTTGCCTATGGCAAGCTGGAAGACGGACAACTAGGATTCTGAGAGGAGAAGAGATGAAAGAAGCTGGAATTCATACATTGAGATCTAAGACAGAAGTGGCAGGAAGAGTGTGTTATTACTACTCATTGATAAACACATGGGTTAGTAAGAGCGGTGAAAAACAGACGTGAGGAGTTAGAGTGAAGTTAGGAGCCTTCCATCCACCATTCTGGAAGCTAACAGTGTCTCTGCAACCTTAGACAAATGCTTAAGAAGGAAGGGTTGGCTGGGAAGTTAAGATCAGCCGCTATAACGAATAAAGCCCTAGTTCCGGTGACTGTGTTGCAGCCTGATATGCCTTCTTCTGATCCAAGAACTCCTTCTACTTGAGGTTTAGAGAGCAAGCCTCCTTTTTCTTATGATTTCACCATCTGCTGGCACCTGGGAGTTTCTAAATCAGGTGAGAAGACAAAGAGAAGGCGAAACATGCTGATGTCTTACCACAGTGGCTCAGAGGTGATACACATTTCTTTGCTCCGGTCCCTGGGTGGCTAACCCACCACAGAGCTCCATCCAGCTGCCTCTGAGCCACAGCTCTTGCATGAATAGTTGGAAGATTTTCAAGGGGGTAACTAGAAAAAGAAGAAAAGAAAACATTCATGTGAAGTCAGCACTGTCTGCTATCGGTACTATGGCAACAATAAAGAGTCAGCTTTAGCTTGCCAGAGACATCAAGGTAGCCTTCCAGAAGATGCAGCATGTGGTCTGCAGTGAAGACTGACCAGCAAGTAAATGAGATAAGGGCGTTTTTTTCCAGATGGTAAACGGTATGAACAAATGCAAGTCAAAGAGGAAGACCGGGAAGCAACTGAGGGATTTGAAAGAATAGCGAAAGCCTGAGGTATTTGTCTTGAAAGTAATGACACCCCCACGTATCTGCTAAAAGGTTGACAAAGGAAAGCTGGCTGAACCTTAAGCCTCTAGGAAATTACACATTTTACTGGCTTTGCAGATAGTGTTAAAATGATCAAATTTGGTTTTCTGCATCTCTGAATTTGATTCCTCTGTTGAAGTCTGATGAGAATGTAGAGCGAGTGTTTTTGATATTTAGCATGCTACAGGGTCTTTCTGGGTAAGAGCAACTGGAGTCTATGAACAACAGAAGCGGTGTGTATCTGTCAAGTGTGATTACAGCGCTGAGTTATGCCCCTCTCGAGTCCCCGTTCCTGCAGACATTAGCTTAAACACCCGAACGTGCTGGCACTTCAGGCCAGTGAGGGGTTTTCTGCGGGTAATAGCCGCCTTTACTATCTTTAATTAGGAAGAATTCACATCAGTTTAAAATTACTGGATGCTCAAGTTTGACCACTCCATCTTCTCGGTTATCCTAATAACAGGGGAAAGTAAGGAGGAATATGTCCAAGTTGTATTGAATTTCCTCTAAGTTTCTGTATTTAATCTCCTTCTTGGCATTTTGATGAACTCCTCTCTCTGATGAGGCAGTTGTTAAAATTATAGAATAGAGTTGCTTAAAATGTCACCAACTTTTTTAAAAGAAGGTGAAATGATCAGAAAATAAATTTTAAACTGGGGGAATAATATTTTTTATTGTCGATGATTAAAAAATCCAGAGACTCCAAAAGAATAAACCAAAACTGTCAACAGTCACTTCATAGTTGGATGTATTTAATGCCACACTTTCAGCGTGGATGTTCCAAACATTTTCCTATGTACTCATATAGCAATATAATTTTATTAAGAAGAGCAAGTGGTAAT